ACAAATTTAAAATTTCAATTTAAATTTAAAAATTAAAAAAATTTAAAAGGGGGAAAGGTCAGGCCAGGCCTGCTTGCTGAAATAGAAAGGTCTTTAGAGCGCGGTGGAAAGTGCGCAGGTCCGGGATCCTACGTATCTCCGGGAGGAGCTCATTCCAGATAGTAGGTGCCCCCACAGAGAAGGCCCTCCCCCTGGGGGCCGCCAGTCGGCACTGTTTGGCCGACGGCACCCGGAGAAGCCCCTCTCTATGAGAGCGTACCGGCCGGTGGGAGGTTGATTGTGGTGGTAGGCGGTCCCGTAAATAGCCAGGTCCTAAGCCATGGAGCGCTCTAAAGGTGGTAACCAGAACCTTGAAGCACACCCGGAAGACCACTGGGAGCCAGTGCAGCTCGCGCAGGAGAGGTGTTACGTGGGAGCGCCATGTCGCTCTCATAACCACCCGCGCGGCCGCACTCTGCGCCAGTTGGAGCCTCCGGGTGCTCCTCAAGGGGAGCCCCATGTAGAGAGCGTTGCAATAGTCCAGGCGGGAAGTGACGAGGGCATGAGTGACTATGTGTAAAGAGTCCTGATCCAGAAAGGGACGCAACTGGCGGATCAGGCGAACCTGATGGAAAACCCTCCCGGTCATGGCCGTCAAATGCTCTTCTAAAGACAGCCGTGAATCCAGGAGGACGCCCAAGTTGCGAGCCCTCTCCGTGGGGGCCAGCGATTCGCCCCCAATAGATGCTTGGCAACTGATTCATATTTATGAAGGTTGCAGTGTCCCAGAGTCATGTGACTGGCTTTTGCAAGCTTCTGACAAGCAAAATCAATGGGGGGGGGCAGAATCATTTAACAACTATGTTATTTTTAACAACTGCAATTATTTACTCAACAGGTGTGGTAAGAAAGATTGTAAAATGAGCCAAATTTACTTAACAAATGTCTCACTTAGCAACAGAAATTTTGGACTCAATTGAGTAAGTCAAGGACTACCTGTAAAAGACATTCCCCCCATGTAAATGGCTGCTAGTCTATAGCTTTAATTTATTTTTATTCCAAGTTTTCAATATAATTTTATACCTTCTTCTAGCCTCTAATGACCATAAATACAGGTAGTCCTTGACTCAAAGGTACAAGGCAACTGGACTGAAGAACTGAAAAAAGTTTCTTGGATGACAAGTGAAATGTTTTCAAGGAAAAAAACCAAGGAAGTCTAGTTGCCTTTTGAAAAAGCAACTTTGGAACAACCATGGGGTTAACTGATTGAGAATCTCCAAGACAGGGAGTCCTCGATTTACAACAGTTCATTTAGTGACTACTTGAAATTACAACGGTACTGAAAAAAGTGACTTATGACCATTTTTCACACTTGCAACCACTGCAGAGGTAGAGGTAGATTCACCTCAAAAAACTGATTACCACTGGGGAATTTTAGTTTGACTGACATGAAGTCTGTAAAGGATCGAGGGAAGAAAGCTGGAGCTCTGGCAGTCTGTTACTCTGTTAAACATTTTTCCAGAGGCTGCAGGAGCTCCAGCTTTCTTCCCTTGATCCTTTCCCCACCTCCTCAAGCAAAGAGTATGGAGGGGGGTCTCCAAGAAGGAATAAAGTTTGCTTATTTAAAGAGGACACACCTCTAGTGCGAACGTCACATTCCCTGAAAGGCTTGGTTGCTCTGGTTGCTCTCTTAGAGTGGGCTGCCTACGAACAGTTGTGATAATTTTGAAAATATCTTCGAAGCCTGCCCTTCAGTTGCTTTTGAGTTTGGAAAAACATTTAACAGAGTAACACATTGCCATAGCTCCGGCTTTCCTCCCTCGATCCTTTCCCCTCCTCCTCAAATGAAGCAGCTGCTCTGAGCCAATGGCTGAAACTGGGTTGTGTGAACTGATCCAGCTCTGAGTGTTTATTCTGCCTCACTAGGGGTAAACTAAGAGCGGCTGGTGGGGTTAGGAGAAAGGAGGAGGAAGGGAGAGAGTTTGGATCAGTTTCCTGCCCCCCTTCCAGCCCTCCTGTCTTTTCTCTTGGAAAAACATTTGGCTCGTCGATTCCCCCACCCCAGGAGTGGGGAAGTACGTACGTCCAACACTCCGAGCATCCTTGTGAGAGGAGAGGGGTTCCCCGATTACTCACACATGCAGCTTTGGCTGCTGCCCGCCTCTTGTCTGGCACCCACAGCGAGGCAACTGGGGAGATGCCCATATGTTTTGCAGCAGTGGCGATAAAGCTGTTGCCCCCCCCCCAGGACTGCTGCTCCCAACTTTGTCCTCTCGGCCTTGGTGCTCTTACCTTACATGGCAGTGGTGGCGCCTCCTCCTGGCCGCACCTTGCAAGCCAAGAGTGCAGCCTGGCAACACCCAAGTGGGGGCTGTGTGATTTTGCCCTGGCAGCACCAGCGGAGCCACAATCTGCCATCCGCCATGCGAGTGCCAATAAGCAGATGCAGCCCAGCCCATGCTGGCTTGCCCCGGTCGGCCTGGCTCCCAACCCCACCAGCCACTCTTATCTTATGCAGCGGCGGCGCCTCCTCCTCCTCCTCACGCCTTGCAGGCCAAAAGCACGGCCCTACTTCCCTGAGCGTCCAAGCCGGTAAGTCGCTCTTGCCTTTCCCCCTGCAGTTGCCGCTGCTGCTCTTCTGGGGCAGTGGAGCTGCACAGCAGGAATGCTGGAGATAGCGCGCCAGCTGGCCCTTGCCATTGCTGATCTTCATATGCGCATGCACACCAGAAACCAGGAGACCAAGTGGCCGATGCGCATTCCTGAAACAGGAAGATCATCTTCCTAGACTGCATATGCGCAATGGGTGGCTGCTCTTTCGGTTTCGGGCACGCATGAAAACCAGCTGGCTGGCATGATGGAACCTGGAAGAGCAACGGGCGACAGCTCTGTGTGCCCGTAAAGATGGCTCTGCATGCCACTTCTGGCAGTCATGTCATAGGTTCACTATCACGGCTCTATCCCATCCTAATGTAATAATCATATATTACAAAGCTACAGTTTAACCAGAATTAAGTAAATCAAATTGGCTGGACTCCCACATATCAGTGAATGCGTAATCTTATTTCAATTTAATGGATACAATTTAAAGTTTAATGCAAATATGTAAGGTATCTCACAAATGTGTGTGAGATTTAGTATCTATGCCATAATACTAAACCATAATGTGGTGTTTTTGGTTGAATTTACTTAGGTATGTGTGAGCTTGGTAATTGTGTTGTAAATCATTAGTTTTGAATAATCTAGGTCATTATGATTTATTAAACAACCAAAGTTAAATAAATCATGGCTTAGTACAACATGTTAACTAGTCTTTTCCATGTTCCAAAGGAACAATACAGAAAGGAATTAAGCAACTAAAATATCTGAGAATGGTTAATTGTCTATAAAAACAATTCTTCTCTCGCTATAAGTTATCTTAAGAAAAAAAGAACAAAATATGCAAGGCCCCAAAATGGAGGAATTAGACGTTCTTAACATTCGGGAGCGATAATAAATATTACTTGTCTTCCCCAGGGTGCAGTCCTACAAACAATTCCCATTGGCCATACTCAAAGGAGAATGATGAAAGTGGTAATCCAATATAGGTAGTCCTCAATTTACCACCACAATTGAGCCCAAAATTTCTGTTGTTAAGTGAGACAATTGTTAAGTGTCCCATTTTGCAACCTTTCTTGTCACAATTGTTAAATGACTCACCACAGTTGTTAAATTAGGTAACAAAATTGTTAAGTTGAATCTGGCTCCCCCATTGCTTGACAAATGGGGTGACAAAAGTGACCACATGACCATGGGATATTGCAACTGTCATAAATTTAACCAGTTATCAAACATCTGAATTGCAATCATGGGGATGTTGCAATGGTCATTAAATGTGAAAAATGGTCATAAGTCACTTTTTTCAGTGCCATTGTAATTTTGAACAGTCACTAAATGAACTGTTGTAAATTCATTGTACCTCTTAAGGGCACTATGTTAGAAAGAGTAATCCACGACAGAGGCAAGGCCTCTCATACCTCTGTGAATCCCATCTATAGAATCTTTTGTGGTTACTTGCGAGCAGCAACTGTCTGAACTTTCAAATGGTGAATATCTCCAACACAGTTAAGATTCTTAATCTATACACCAAGAGCCAGTTTCCCCAATCTAAATATTGTGACTGAAGTGACAAAAAAATCATAAGGAGGCTGGTAGCACCTTTTCGACTTACAGATTTTATTAAAAAGCATAAGATTTAGTGAGCTGCGACCTAGTATTATCAGACTTCTTCTAAGCCCCTTCTCCATAATGGGATTATCATGTGTGTACAATAAACCCAGGTTGCAACAGATCATCACAGCAATGCATTCAGCAATTGTCTAAAAGATATAATTTGGAAAATGAACAGATGTGAGACTCCAACCTATACAATAATATCTGAAAGAATAAGAAGTTAAGCCAAGTAGGAAAAGCACTCCAAAAGACTGAAAGTCTTTTAGGAAAGTCAAGAACCACCATCACTTCAGATTCAAGAGATAAAATTTCAGGGAAGGAGGTATAAATAGATTTTATACCACTATCTAGGTTCAGATGATACCCCTTTCCTTCAATTTTGTCATTATCTTCGTAAGAATTTGGTCCTCTAAGCCCTAATGGCTAAACCAATGTGGCTTAGCGTGACGTGAGTACGCAATCAGCGAATCATGTTCTCAAAGTAGCAAAAAAGGCAACCGTGCGATCAATAGAAAAACTTCCTAGATATATTTCAAAAACGAAAGGTTCTGACCAACCAGCGCGAGCGTCAGCAGCACTCTTTTAAAATGTCGATAAAGAAAAGCGTCGAAAGTTGCAAATCCTTCTTCAAAGACAAAGAGCGCACAGGTAATCTGTTCCTCACCCACCCGTCCAAGGCCGCTGTCCAGGCTACCAGAATGTACCCCAGTTCCCTTCAACTCAGCGAAACAGCAGCACGATTCGCCTTCCACCCCTCCCAGAGAACGTGCGGAGGAGGAAAGAAAAAGAAGCACCCAATCCCCGCTTACCTGCCCTTAGGAGGGCCAACACTGCAGCGAACAGAAGCCTAGCCAGCGGCAGCGAGACCCACCACGCCGCAGCCATCTCCACGCGTTTATTCTGCGGTTGCAGCGGACTTGCCCTAAATTCAGTAGCTGCGGCCCTCGCAGGGTAAATCGCCTATTTGTCGATCACGCAGTTGCAAGAACTCCTAGCAACTTCGACGATCTCCTCTTCCTCCTCCCTATGGTCAGACAGGAGGCACCGCCAGCTCCTCCCCTTCCCTCATCCCTATCCCCAGGTAAAACTCCTCCTCTTCCTTGATGAGGAAATCCAAGGCGTCAGCTAGTCCTCTCTTTGGACTAGCTGTGGCCTCTCGTACTGTGGCAAGTGGTGAGGAAACCGCATCTCTTTCCTCAGCCCCGATCCCGTCCATCCCCGCCTTAAGACATTAGATATCCTTTCACGGGGCGGAATCCTGTCTAGTACAGGAGGGAGAAAATGAGTAGATTAAAGGAGTGCTGTGGCGTGTTCCGCACGGTGTCTCAACTTTTAAGAGGAATGAGGTTGCCCTTTTTTAAATGAGTTACAGAAGACAAGAAAACAGCCCGCTCTGCCTGGATATTAATGGATCTTTCATTGATGATTCGGGATATTTAAAAGGGTGGACTTCGTAAGTAAATCATATTTCCTGAGTCCATGGGATGGTTCCATGACTACAATTAATATTCCACTGTTCGTTGATTTCAAAAACTGCTGTGGGCTGTGATTCATCCCCTGCACACTTACTTAGAAAGGACGTTTTGCTGAAATAGGAATTGTTTGCAAATAAGCTATTTTTGGAAAAATAAACGGAAAGTTTATCTGTTGCTACAGTGAGAACAAGGAGGCTTAAGCTTCCTAAAGACAGTATGTTTTATCATGACAGAAACTTTAGGGAACTGCAATATAGCAGCAGTGGAAGAGGAAACTTTGGGTGTGGTAGTTATTTGGATGAACTTTTTATTTGCTTCTGAAACCTGTGCCACCAGGCACCAAAGCTCTAATTATTTATACAGAGTACAGTGATTAGAAAGTTCAGTATACAATCCTTCCTTAGCATTTCCTATTTTGGTATCTTACTGGTGCCCTCAATTCACTTGATTATTCAGTGCAGAGCAAGCTAAACCAAAGACGAACCAAATGTATTTTTTCTGGCATGTTGTATGAATTCAGAAAATGGGGTTTATTTAATAGTCTTTAATTAAATATTCATGCTACTAATTGTCACTGCGTTATTTTATTTACCAGCTGAGCTCATTATTTCTGGACTGTCAGACTCTCCGTAGCTTTGCCAACTTCTTATCAGTAAGCTACGTGTTTCCGTATCCACCCACATTCCTTCACTTGCTCTTCACACACTCTTTCCTTTGTTCTCTTGCCAGAGGTCCGGCTCAGATAGCCGGCAAGAATTACTTTCAAAAATGTAACAATTAACTTTTCTTAGTTAGTGAGGTGTTTTATTTTCTTTATAACAAATAAATGAGTTTTATTAGAAACCTTCCTTGCGTTTCTTTTCGGAATATTGCAAACAAGGATAAGCCTCGATTCATCTCCTTTAAACCAGGGTAATTAGTCCCAGACCCAAACATGGGATTAATAAATGCCCTGACATTCTGGTAGCTCGGACGGTTTGATTTATGGCTTTTTTCCTTGTTTTTGTTACTTCTGATAAGAGCGCATAGGCAATTAGTTTTTAGCTACTAAGGTACGCTAATTATATTGCTAAGATGCCGAAACAGAAGTAAAACAAATACAAAATGTATTTTGCTGAGAAGGTGGCAGAAAGGAGGTTTCCAGATTTCCAGCCCCTTACTACAGCCACACGCCTGGAACGACAAAAAGCCGTGGGAACAGAAATGGAGACAGATAAGACAGAAGCTGTTTTTGAAGATGATGATTTACGACTGAGGTCAGTAACATTTTCTTCTGATCTTCCAAGCTCTGAAAAAGTCTTCCCAGAACCTTCTGAATTTGTAATGCTCGATGCAAGGCTAAAGCACACTGCTGAGCAAAATTCCTCCCACGCAGAGAGAGAAACAATTCATTATTCTCCTCGAAGCTCGAAGCTCACCCTGGATGAGCTGGCTATGAAAGCCTTTCGTGACCGTATAAAACTCTATGAACAGCAGCTATCCCAGGCAAAAATGGCTATATCTATGCTTGAGCAAGATAAGGGAGATAACTTAAATTTTTCAAAAAGCGCCATATTGCCTTCTTGCTCAGAGCCAAAGACACTCCCCCTGGTGGATTCTGTGTCAGGCCAATTAAGGCAAAGAGCACTGCATACGTCACATGAAAGTCTCCCTGATCAAGTTACACATGTCTTACATAACCACTCCTACTCTAAAGCATACAATGCCACGTATGCAAAGCTGCCCGAAGCTAAAGGTGCAGAACCATCTGCTGGCAAAAGTAATTTACTACAAGAAGCTGAAATGCCACAAGTGTTTCCACAGGCCCAAACTCAAACACCCCCTGGCGGTGTTGGTGTCTTTTTAGATGGAACACAGCAAAGGCAAATGACTGCATCTCCAGCAGGTCATGCCAATATTGCAGCTCAAGCACAAATGGCAACTGGATTACAGCAGATTCCAGTGCATCAGCCACAGCAGCTACAAATGCCTGCATATGTGCCCCAGCCACAAGTGCAAATAGGGCCACCTCCTGGCCCACCTCCAATGGCACAACCAAGACCATTTTTAGGTCCACAACAGGCACAGCAAATACCACAGGCATTCCTGCCGGCACAGCCAGCATACCAAGTGCAGGCTCCTTACCAGGCATTTTCTGTCTCTCCACTAACTGGTGAGTCAAAACTAAAAATGTCAGGACATAATTACAAAGCCTGGGTCAGTGAGATTACACTATTGCTTCTTAGAGAAGGCAGTCACTGTATGGTTTTTAACCCACCTGCTCAACCTTGGACTTATGCAATAAGAGATTTAGAGATAAGGGCTCGCACAACATTATTGATGTCCATGGATACTGAACTGCAGGTCACTTTTCCACCAAATACAACAGCCCGACAAATTTGGGCTGAATTGGAAAATTGCTACAGGCCTATCTCAATTGAATCGTCATGTTTACTCATGTCTGAACTCCACGGTTCGAGATTGAAACCCGGTGAACAAATTGGAGGACATTTGACCAAACTGAAAGGTCTGAGAACAGAATTGAGAGAAAGAGGCCATAACATTGAAGATATTCAAATGATCAGCATCATTATTAACTCTTTGAATTATGAATGGAAAGATGCTGTTACAAAAATTAACCAAGTCCCAATTGCTCAACGCACAGTGGACAATGTCTGTAGACTTTTAATTGAAGAAGAGGCATTCATGTTGGCCACGCCATACTTGAGAGGACCACCGGCATCAAGAGCTCCAGCTAGGTGCCCCTTCCGAGGAAGGACCTATGCTCCAAGGATGCCAAGATGCAACACCTGCAATCGTGTGGGACATGCCACCCGGGATTGTCCCCAACGAGTTCCAGCTCCCGTCACGTACCAGCCCAGAGGAACAGACTCCAGTGGCAGAGGCAGAGGCGGAAGACAAGGTCGTCGTGGTCCCCGGCGTGATCCACAAACTCCACTCGCCACATTGGCTTTAACCAATGATCCACAACCTCAACCAGAGTACGACAGACGACTCCTGTGGACTTTGGACAGTGGTGCAGCATTGCATGTTACCTACAGAAAGGAACTTTTCACAGAAATGCACGATCCTGAACCAGAACTACGTGAACTTTACTCTTTTTCAAATCATCCTTGTCAGGTCAAAGGAAAAGGAACTGTTTATGTTGAAGAGCTCGATGCATTGATCCCTGATGTTTATTACATACCAACAGCAACCAGTAATTTACTTAGTCAGTGTCACTTGTCTAGAATGTTAAAGTTCCAAGTTCACCACCTTGAAAAAGCAAGTTACATAGTTAAAGATGGAGATATTGTTGCTGAAACCATATTAATTGGTGGTGTTTATTACTTAAAGCCAAAGCCTAAAACACAAACACAGGCAAATATGCAAACTCCAAAAAGGGAATGCACAGGCCCAGAGAGAGATGCTCCAGTGAGAGATCCTGTTGCTATTCCAAAGGCTCCTAAAGCCAACAAAAAATAGAATTGGTAAACAGGTTGCTCAGAGCAAGCCTGAGGTTCCACATAAAAATGTTAATGTTGAGAATTCACTAACTGGTAAACCTTTGCATTCCAGGTGTATCCACAAATGGCATAGAAGATTGGGGCATGCCAGTTTCCGTGTTCTTAGGAAGATGCCGGAGTTCGCAAAAGGTTTGGATCTAAAGGGGTGTAAGGTGTTTTTGGATTGTGCTGTATGCAAGAAGGCCAAATCCAAAGCAGCAGCCATTCCCAAACGCGCTACACGCCTGTCAACACGCATTTTTGATTTGGTTCACATTGACATAGTTGGTCCATTCCCGCCATCATTTGGTGGTAGAAAATATTTTCTAACAATTGTTGATAATTACTCTAGATATGGATATGTATATCCTATGAAAGAAAAATCAGAGATTTTTCAGATCTTTAAAGACTTTGCAACCCTTGTTTCTACCCAACACCAAGTTCGCATCGCCAGAATCCAGAGTGATCGTGGTGCCGAATTCATGTCTCAGCATTTCCAGGACTGGATGCGTAAGAATAGAATTATTCATCAGACTTCACTCCCTGACACATCGGCTCACAACGGAGAGGTACTGCAAACCATGATGCGTTGTCTCCTAGAAGACGCCAACCTTGATATGATATACTGGGGTGAAGCTATCAAGTACGCAAATTACATTGTCAACCGTACTTGGAGCAGTGTAACAAATCAGACTCCTTTCTTCATGTTGTATGGCTACAAGCCTGATCTTAAAAACATCCATATTTTTGGTTCATATGCTATGGTGAACATTCCCTTAGCTCAAAGAAGAAAAGGAAGTCCAGCAGCAAAAAGACTGAGATTTATGGGTATTGATGATAACTCAAAATGGAGCAGATTTATTGACTCTAAACATGCAATTGTGATTTCCCAATCTGCTAATTTTGAAGAAGATATTGACTGGTCCAGGATTCATTCCAATGATCCTGGAGTTTATTTTCCTAGAGATGATACTGCTCATTAGGTCACATTAGCACTTATTTAGGTGTTCAGATTGAAAAAACACAGAAGGGGTTTAGTCTTTCACAAGAAGATAAAATTGAACAAATTTTGCATCATTGCAACATGAAGGATGCTAAC